GTTATATAATTAATCTACCGTTATTACATTGGGCAGATTAGGGCCAGCCTCATTATTCGCAGATACTCAACCATATCTGATATATCAACCATATCTGATATATTAATAGGATTGAACCAGATATATTAAAGAGATTAAACCAGATATATTAAAGGAATTAAACTAGATATATTAAAGGGATTAAACCAGATATATTAAAGGAATTAAACCAGATATATTAAAGGAATTAAACCAGATATATTAAAGGAATTAAACCAGATATATTATGGGGATTAAACCAGATATATTAAAGGAATTAAACCAGATATATTAAAGGAATTAAACCAAATATATTAAAGGGATTAAACCAGATATATTATGGGGATTAAACCAGATATATTAAAGGAATTAAACCAGATATATTAAAGAAATTAAACCAGATATATTAAAGGGATTAAACCATATATATTAAAGGGATTAAACCAGATATATTAGGGGAATTAAACCAGATATATTAAAGTAATTAAACCAGATATATTAAAGGGATTAAACCATATATATTAAAGGGATTAAACCAGATATATTGAAGGGATTAAACCAGATACATTAAAGGGATTAAACCATATATATTAAAGAAATTATATCAAATATATTAAAAATCAGAGCTCAGCATTGTAAACACTTTGAAGGGAACTTGAACGTTCAATTAGTTCTATTAGATTTAATATTTCAGTTTCTTGAGATTAAAAGTTTTTTGTTGCAAAATATGGCGGTGAAGCTTAACAATTTTCTTCTTTTGCATTTCAAAGTTGGGGTGTGTCTTATAACAAAATACACGAATATACAATTAGTTTTATTTCTGTTAAAAACTAAAATTTTTAGTCGTCTATAATGTGCTGTAAAGAAAGTATATGGGAAAATCCGGCAATATTGCATAATAACCATTAGAGCAGGATCATTAATATTGTGGAGAATACTTACTCCTTCATTAGGTTTACATTGCTTTTTCTTGTGTACAGTATACACGTTACACAGGCATTGTTTACATCAGGGAACACGAATAAAGGGAAAGGAAATGGCGCTGGTCCGGCATGAGAAAGCCAGTCGCACTGCTTTGCAGACAGGTTCCTTATCAAAAAACGCACACTCTTTTGGCCCGGACACACACACATGACTACAGTCTAGGAAAGAGCAGAACAATGTCATCAATTATATCTAAGCTTGAATAACGACTCGAGTAGTTTATTGTAAACTTTAATCAAATTATATTCTTTGCATTAAGTTACATTTTGCTTTAAGTGTTGACTCAAATATAAAAAAAAATATATTACATGTATATTAAACTTATTTTTAAGTAAACAATTAACAATAAACAAATACCGAGATTCTTCTGTACTGTATAAGTACACCGACAGTACAACTTTTGGTCCCTTATCACACACGCACACTCTAATGGTACAGACACAAACACATGACGTTTCCGCCCCCTGATTTACATACATGAGGATATAATTTAACACTGGATTAGAGCATCATAGTTTCAGAAGAAGTAAATATTTCCATTTACTGATAGCGCCGATTGAAGGATTTATAACTCTAATTGGATAATGAGATAGATAGAAAGATAGATCTTACCGCCAAACTATTTCTATTGGATCAGGCGCTAATGGAATAGCATACAGTAGTGAGAGAAGGGTCTGCAATTATTTAATACGTAATATTTTAAACATCGCAACGCTTTTGCCTTTCATTTTACCTCACTACTTTTTTGTGTAGCCATATGCATTTAATTAAAGCTTTATTTTGAAGTAATTGGCAATATTCTCATCGAATTTTGCACAAGAGCTTGCAACCTTTGAATCACTAAGGCTAATTTTTAATTTATTTAAAAAATGGCCCCATGGTGTGTAATATGTTGCAAAATAAAGCTTTAATATGTCTCTGATAAAAACAGTATCCTGCCCCCCCCCCCCCCCCATCCACAAACTTTATTAGTTTCAGAATTTCAATATTGCCAAAATTCTATTTCTAAAATCCGGGGAATTTGTCGGAAAATTTATAATATTCCATACAAATAGATAAACCATCATTTGCACTTTTTATATAGAGAAAAGTCACCTTTTAAACCTCAAAAAATATATTTTTCAAGATAATTTTTATGGATTTATTGATTTGCCTTGAATTTCCACATAAAGGAAACAAATGAATAATGCATGCATAAGGTTTTGAACATTTTGAATTTCGACAGCAGTTACAGTTTACACCCGCTTCAGGTTTAACCAATAGCAATGGCAAAGTTGTGGAAAAATAAAGATCGACCTATCAAACCATAGAGATACTATTAAACCAAAGAGAAACTATCAAATCAAAGATAAACTATCAAACCATAGAAAAACTGTCAAATCAAAGATAAACTATCAAACCATAGAGAAACTGTCAAATCAAAGATAAACTATCAAACCATAAAGAAACTATCAAATCAAAGATAAACTATCAAACCATCGAGCAACTGTCAAATCAAAGATAAACTATCAAACCATAGAGAAACTGTCAAATCAAAGAGAAACTATCAAACCAAAGAGAAACTGTCAATCCAAAGAGAAACTATCAAACCATAGAGAGAAACTGTCAAATCAAAGAGAAACTATCAAACCATAGAGAAACTGTCAACCCAAAGAGAAACTATCAAACCATAGAGAAACTGTTAAATCATAAATAAAATATCAAACCATAGAGAAACTGTCAAATCAAAGATAAACTATCAAACCATAGAGAAACTTTCAACCCAAAGAGAAACTATGAAACCATAGAGAAACTGTCAAATCAAAGATAAACTATCAAACCACAGAGAAACTGTCAACCCAAAGAGAAACTATCAAATCATAGAGAAACCATCAAATCAAAAATAAACTATCAAACATAGTACTTGTTAACTTTTTATATTCTGGGAACCAAACATAGTACTTGTTATTCTTCTATATTCTGGGAACCAAACATACTACTTCTGAACTTCTTATATTCTGGGAACTAAACAACTACTTGTTTACTTTCTATATTCTTGGAACCAAACAACTACTTTTTAACTTCTATATTCTCGAAACCAAACAACTACTTTTTAACCTTCTATATTCTCGAAACCAAATAACTACTTGTTAACCTTCTATATTCCGGAAACCAAACAACTATTCGTTAACCTTCTGTACTCTTGGAACCAAACAACTCCTTATTACCCCTCTATATTCTCGAAACCAAACAACTTCTTGTTAACCTTCTATACTCTTGGAACCAAACCACTTCTTGTTACCTTCTATACTCTTGGAACCAAACAACTCCTTATTAACCTTCTATATTCTCGAAACCAAACAAATACTTGTTAAACCTTCTATATTCTCGAAACCAAACAACTACTTGTTAACCTTCTAAATTCTTGGAACCAAACAACTACTTGTTAACCTTCTATATTCGTGAAACCAAACAACTGCTTGAGGATTGTCTTTATTTATTAATAATCACACTAAATATTTTAAACATCTGAATAATAAATCATATTTTTTTCAATCTCACTACTTAGAAAATCGTTTTTTTTTATGAGAAATTATTCTACAAAGAGATTTTTTTAATACAAATTAGAAAATCAATTTTTAACAAAATTATCCTCAGTTTAATTCTTAATTTTCATTTTATGTAGAAATATTTGTTTAGATATTCATTTATTATACTTTGCGTTTTTAATAGAATACAATTTTATGCTCTTTTTACAGGGTGCTTAAGCTTATATTGAAAAAGGAGTAGAGCCAATGAAATAAGAACAACAGCATCAAATATACATAATTAATTAATTTACCATATTTCAGAGCCAGTTTAAAAAGAAATAGAAAATGTTAACTCAATATTGTAATTTAAAATACAGCTAATGTAAATTTTTTCCTTTGCTTCGAGGCCAGTGTTTATTGTATGATAACTTATTTTTAAAATATTCCTAACATCCAAAAATGTTATGCTTTTAAAGTCGGGAACAGAAACACCGGCCCTAGTCGAGAAAATTGGTTTGGTTTGATTTATGATTTATCAGAACCGGTTTGGTTTAAGGAGATTAATTAAAACCGGTTTGAACAATCAAGATCCGCTAAACTTTATCATTTATCCAACAAAAAGATACCAAATATTTTAAGATTTTGAGCAAAATAGTTAAAAGTTCGCCACTTTTATTTTTTAGCAAGTTTTCCATCAATTTTCTCACTATAATAACAGCAAATTCTATACTGAATGCATTCAAGATTAGCAATAAAAAAGCACAGTTTCTCTAATCTGTGAAACTGTTCAAAGTTTCTTTGGAGCCTTCTGTTGTGTATGCAGTTTAGTTAAATAGTATAAATAGATATATAGCATATATCTAGAAGATCTATGAGGTCTTGCAGATCTAGTATATCTAGAAGATCTAATAGATCTATGTAGCATATAGCATCTAGAATCTAGTATAGATCTAGTAGATATATATAGCACACATCAAGTTAATCTAGTAGATCTACCGCATATATCTTATAGATCTACAGCATATATCTATATATACTAGATCTACAGCATATATCTAGTATATCTACAGCAAATATCTGGTAGATCTACAGCATATCAGTAGATCTATAGCATACATATTGAAGATCTACACAGCGTATACCTAGTAGATCTACAGCATATATCTAGTAGATCTAAAGCATATATTTAGTAGATCTACAGCATCATGTCTAGTAGATCAATAGCTTTTATCATGTAGATCTACAGCATATATCTAATAGATCTACAACATATTTCTAATAGATCTACAGCATATATCTAGTAGATGTTAAGAATGGAAAATGTTACCGATCTTCTGGTTGTGGTTTGTATTGTGTGTTAGGAGTTTTATCTAGTATTTAGTATTTAACAACCAACATTATATGGGCGATCACAGTTTATAGTATTAATAGGTCTAGCAGACGACACTACTTTTAACTTTTAATAATGTTTATTATATTTTTAATATTGAGAGGGAGGGGGGGGGGGGTATTTCTGCTTGTGAATGGCTTTAGTACGCCTAGATTTATGGCAATTACTTCCAGCATAGTTTTGATATGTACACACGCTTAAAGATGCAGTGAAAATATCAAATAAATGTTTTCAGCTGGATTATTGAAATATTGAATTAAAAACATTTTAAGTTCAACAAACTCGAGACTCGTCGAATGAATAGAAGTTCTATAATGTCCTCATGGGACAAAATTAAGAATTGAACACTAAGGTTTTAAAAAGTTTTTGAGGGTTACTTTTGTTTAAAGTATTTACATAATTGAATGAGAGTTATGTCTTTCTTTAACCCTTTTGTTATAATAATTTGAGCCAACTTCACGAATCAATATGTAGAAGAAAACTTACATTTCATTTAATCATTCATTCTCTATCATCTATACTTAAACTATATATGTATAGAAGATATAACATGTCGGAATCATTAAAAACAGCTTTAATAAATCTTTTACAATATCTTATTTGTAGAGAGCCCATCATCTAATCTATTCTAAAATTAAGACTAGATATAAAATGTGTTGGCACCATTATAGATTCCTTTCAATGTTATTTTAGCACTTTCCCCACTCTGTTGTCCTTGATCAGTTTATGTAACAATAACATGTGGCGCTGCAGCGAGTACGGCCACTGTGGCAACTATTGTGAACAATGTGAAGACGATCAAACACAATCGATCCAAAACCATTGCGGCAAACTTCCAGTCGTTCTCTATTGCTGCAGCTTCTTCATCATCCCTGATCTTATCAGTTATGATCTTTATCTCCTTCAGAATCAGGCTCAACTCCCTAGATTAGTTTATTTATATTCTCTAACGTTTACTGAGTTTTCAAAAATTCCTTTTTTAATTTAAGCATCTAGGTTCTTGCGAGTTCTAGTTGCAAAGTGGGAATAATAGGGGGGACTTTTAGTGTAAATAAAGTAACCCTCCATGCAAAGATGGCAATGTTCGATTCACAATGGTACCCTTAAAACCTTAATCTAATCAATAATGTTGAATACATTTGAGTTTTTCTAGCTATATAAGCGTTTAATTCTGATTTAAAACAATCAGCTTATAAAATTATATATATTCACATAAATTCATACTTGATTAGAAAAAGCTTTTAATGGTACCATTGTGAAGCGGGCATTGCCATCTTTGCATGGAGGGTCCCTTTTGCTTTCAGTCCTAGTTTAAAAGTATAACAGTATACACTTAGAGAATAGAATATATAGAGAGGAATTTAATGGAAAAAAGTGTAAAACGGCCATTTTGTTGTACTGTTTCCATACTGCAGGTGTACTTCACATAAGAACATTTACATGATTTGTACACTTTGAACTCCCTTTCAGGCTGAAAGGGACTGAAAAAATTCATACCGAGAGATTCTTTTAATTCCTCTCTATATATTCTATTCTCTATGAGTATACAAGTACCTGTGAGCACCAGGGGGAAAATATAAAAGTATACAAGTACCTTTGAGCACCAGGGGAAAGTATAAAAGTATAAACGTACCTTTGAGCACAATGGGGAAAGTATATAGGTATAAAAGTACCTGTGAGCACCAGGGGGAAAGTATAAAAGTACCTGTGAGCACCAGGGGGAAAATATAAAAGTATACAAGTACCTTTGAGCACCAGGGAAAAGTATAAAAGTATAAAAGTACCTGTGAGCACCAGTGGGAAAGTATAAAAGTATAAAAGTACCTACAGCACAAGGGGGAAAGTATAAAAGTATAAAAGTACCTGTGAGCACCAAGGGGAAAGTATAAAAGTACCTGTGAGCACCAGGGGGAAAATATAAAAGTATACAAGTACCTTTGAGCACCAGGGGAAAGTATAAAAGTATAAAAGTACCTGTGAGCACCAGTGGGAAAGTATAAAAGTATAAAAGTACCTGTGAGCACCAGGGGGAAAGTATAAAAGTATAAAAGTACCTGTGAGCACCAAGGGGAAAGTATAAAAGTACCTGTGAGCACCAGGGGGAAAATATAAAAGTATACAAGTACCTTTGAGCACCAGGGGAAAGTATAAAAGTATAAAAGTACCTGTGAGCACCAGTGGGAAAGTATAAAAGTACCTATGAGCACAAGGGGGAAAGTATAAAAGTATAAAAGTACCTATGAGCACCAGGGGGAAAGTATAAAAGTATAAAAGTACCTGTGAGCACCAGGGGGGGGAAAGTATAAAAGTATAAAAGTACCTGTGAGCACCAGGGGGAAAGTATAAAAGTATAAAAGTACCTGTGAGCACCAGGGGGAAAGTATAAAAGTATAAAAGTACCTGTGAGCACCAGGGGGAAAGGTTGAGGGTACTTCCTCCTGCTGAGGAGGCAGGTTACCAGAAACCCTGAATTGTGTTTTTATTAATATTCTAAGTCAAGCAAAAATAATCATCTTCGATAACTCAAACTATTTACACAATCAAATAAAAATAAGTCGTATCGATTAAAACTATTTTAAAAGGGTTGAGAATCATGATTACTGTGCCAGTAAAAATAAATATTCTTGTATTTAAAATGTGTCCTGCAACAAATATTTCCGGATAATAACAGAAAGGGAATGGGGGTATTTGGTTGGAAAATTGAGATTTAAGCCTTTTCAACTTTTTTTCGATATAAAATATTACAAACTGAAATTGCATCCCAAGTATTGCAAAAAAAATTCTGTTTAAATTTGCCAACTACATGATAAGCTTCAAAACTATTCAGACTCATTCAAACAAACTCCCCAATCCCATAAAACCTTCTCAGGTTGTCACAGTGAGGACAAAAAACGCAAACAAATTCTAATACTGAAAAAAAATCAAAGAAATGTCAAGAATATTCGTATATCTAAACCTTGAACAAACAAACAAATAATTTACTTGAGATGAAAAATATTAATGAGTTCTGTTGAAGTCAAGTCATAATATTTACAAGGTTAGCAAAGCTGTCAAGGAAATCTGAACTAGATATAAGATGGCACCAAAAAGATTTCAAAATGGATGAAAACTAGAAAATTTCAAACTTTTGATTGACAAGGCAGAAATACTTCTGAAGAAAACTGTTTAAATAAAAAAAGAAAAAAAAACTGTTCTGAAGGATTATTTTATATCTACACATTTTTGCTAAAAAGTCTAATTTAAATTATGTAGTTGATAGAAGTAGAGGTTGGGAATCTTTATAGTGGCAACAAATTAAAAATTAGACATCTGTAAGAAATAATGGTCAGTACGAACATACAAATCTGGAAAAGGAAGACGACTTTTAGACTGGAGTCATGACTTTAAATATTTCAATGAACATGAGACACAGCAATTGTTCAGTTACTAATAGAACTATTTACGTTGTAACAACATCAAATACACTAAGTATTTCTTAAATACGTCTTCCTATTCCACAGGTTTTTTGACTTTCACTGTATAAAATTTAAATTTTTTAAGAATTACTTTGAATGCATCTATATACAAACTTTGCTTGTCTGTTTGTTTGTAACCGATAAACTTCAAAACGGCTGAACCGATTGGTCACAATTTTTTTGCGTAACCTCACATGACCCAAGGGAAGGTTTTGATTATAAGAATTAAGAAAATTCGATTTTTCTAAATCCACGAGAAAAAATCAAGAAAATAGCAACAATTTTAAGTTAAAATGGAAGATGGGCACGAAGCGCACTGGATGCCTAGATAAATAAATGAGGCCAATAACACATAAGTATGAATAAAGAACCCATTTAATAATGGACCAATAGAAATACATTGTTAGCTCGTGGCAAACAATTTGAATAATGTATATTCTAATGCATTTCTCCTCAGATAAAAGATAAAGCAAATGTACGGAAATAGAAAAATATTTTCATAAAAGATTTTTTTGTCATTTTATTTTATCCATGCAGCCTGGCAGCCTGAAATAAAAAGTTGGGGCATTTATTTACAGAAGAATGTTGAAGCTTTTTGGAGGATCGCAAGCATAGAACCAATGCACTGCACTGCACTGGGCAAAAATATTAGTAGAAAAATGGTATATGGTTTATATAGAGTATAATAGAAGGTGGTGTTAGGTACTTTCCTAAAGGCATTTTCCCAAGGGCGACTTCCCAAGAGACAATTTGCCAAGTGTCAACTTCCCAAATGTGCAATTTCCCAACGGAAACTTCCCAAAGGTTAGGTCAGGCCCTCTGAGGCGCTGCAGGCTGCTATGGGGGCCGAGCGGTGCAGCTAGGACGAGCTAGGGGTTGAGTGCCACGGCTAGAACGAGCTGGGGGCCGAGCGTTGGAAAGTTGCTGCTTGGGAAATTACACATTTGGGAAGTTGCCACTTGGGAAGTTGCCACTTGAGGAAAATCCTTTGGGAAAGTACCTAACATCTAGAAGGTATATCCAGGTTCTCCAATTGTACCCAACCAACTCTAATGCTTATTATAGTTAGTTTAAAAATACAAAAGCATGAGGATATTTAAATAATGTTAATAAAAGGGGAAGCAGATTGTCATTGTCATGTATTCCATATGGTTGAATAAAGAGGGTGTTTTTTAAAGGAACTGTAGACGTGAAATTTCAAGAGACCCTTCAGTTGCAAAATGGCGTGTTCAATTTACAAAGGTGACTATAATCTGAATAACAAAATTCCCTATCTAGAAAAGGTATTTTGACAACTTCCTTCATTGTCTCATGCTCTATAAATCCGCAATTAGGTTTTATAAAGAAACCAAAGGTTGAACAAAAAACAAGGATAGCTCCATTATACTTGATCACACAAAATATTTAAGGGTTAATCGGACATGCCACTCTAAAAATGAAGGATCACTTGAAATTACGTCTACAGCACTCTTCAGTCTTAATATTGGTTAGAAAAGAAGCATTATTATGTACAACAGTGAAGGAAATGAGTCTTTGCCCAAAACTCTGATTTTCTAATCCAGATATCTTTGCTACTCAATTACGAAGATCTTAAATTTTTAAACTGTAATACACTCTGAAAGATAAAAAACCTAAGTTTGAAAAATCAAAGGCTTACAGAATCAGGTTGCAAAGATATTGGAATTAAAAATTTATTTTGGGGCAAAGACTATAATTTCTTTATATAAAATATATAACAAGGTGAAATGAAAGAAGGAAACATATATAAGAGATGTGCAGTGCGCACATAAAAGGAAGTGTTCGCAAAAAATGAATTCAAAGACTCCTAAAATGATTTCAAAGACTCCTAATATTAATTGTAAGACTCCTAAAATGCATTCTAAGACTCCTAAAATCAATTATCAATATGTCCTATCTGTTTAACTGTAAAGACAGATACTTTCCTATCTGTTTAAAGGGAGTGTTCGCGAAAAATGAAAGGGGGTATAGGTTTAATGCGATAAAAAAGCGCTTTTGATCGCTACTAATCTTACTTCTATCTGTTGCGTCTATAAGGAGAAAATTCTTAAAGACGTCTCATACCGAATAACTTAGCGCCCATACAAATT